TACGAACCCAAGAGATGGATAATTGGTCTGTTGGACGTATGGTCCAGCGAGAAGCACATAGCGTTGAGAAGACACATTAGAAATACGATTTGAGCATAATCCGTAAACCTCTGTTACAATCACCCACTGCAGTTGTCTCTAAACACTTTACACAACCACCATTGAAGTGCCGTCAACGAGTTGAAACCTTATATGTAAGCTATTGGTAACGCTTATGTAAAAATTGTAAGTTTCCCAGGCATATAGAACACTGAGTCAAAGTCTTTTCCCCGGTTATAAACCCAAAACTCGATAGAAATTCTATACACAAAGAAGCTCTATTTTCATTTACGGTTACCCTACACATTATTGCACTTGCGATTAATTAAATCCGTTATGTAAGGAAAAACGGTTTTAATCCAACTTGGTTTGGATTTGCTTTTGAAACTTGATCTGAAATGATTGCGGTATTTGTAAACAATATTTAATGTAAACATATCAGTGACAGCTAGAGAAAAATAATCTTGATCCGAACAGCTGTTCGCTATTTCATATGATGATTATGTGATAAACATTGTGAGAAAACTTGACAAAAATCGCACAAAATTGGGTTTTAAACGTCCGTAAGTTTTTTTTACAAAGTAGCGAGGCCATATTTTAATAGCTAAAGACACTTTCGCCAATCCAGTGAATACATTAAAATGATTCGAGGATCTTGATAGGTACTCTCGTTTTCAGGAGAAGGCCGCGTAAAATGGCCTTTGGATCGTGACAGACGGAAGATAGACAACAACGGAATTGAGATAATAATTGATGATTGAGATAATAACGGAATTGAGATGAAACTTTTTTCGGATTCTTGAATGTTTAAAACGTAAAAATAATCTAAAAGTTGATGATTCTGAGCAATGTACAGACAAAACTCTAATTTTATTTATATAGATTAGTACCTGTGGTGATTTTTATTTGAAATTTATTGAAGTAAATAAACAGCAAAGTTAAAAACCATATGACCAGTGTTTTTATTTAAAAAGTACGTAGGCCTATTTGATTGGCTTTGTTTTCTGAACTAAAATATCTATTTCCTGATCTATTTTTAGTTCCTGTTTTCGAAACATAATTTGGCAAAACAATTATTTATTCATTAAACAACTTGATCGAAAAATAATTTCTAAACATTGGAGGACAATTAAAAAACTTTTGAATTCTAATAAACCTAGCTGCCGTACCTGTGTTTTACATCGGAGAGGATTTTGAAGAGAAAAAGTTTGATACACGTCACATATTTCAAATCCCACTCCAAACACGTCATGTTAATATGTTTACTTCCTTAAATTAAGAATGTCAGAATCTCCAATTAACAGGCCCGTAGCAAAAGTTAAAAGTTTCACAAATCGAATCGTTTCTACCTTTTGGACCGCAAAATCAAAGAACTTTATTGACAGCATTTAAAGCTGACTTCGTTAAACATTCTGTTATCTACATTCTTCAAAAATGTAAACATTGTGAAACTTTGGAATCCCATGGGGCGTAACTCAAAGAAAACACGTTAAATGTAATCGGTATATTTGTTAACCAGGTACAGGGCTACCTCTTGAATTTATATAGATAATAAATCGAAAAATAAAGAAATATAAGTTGATTGATTATTGGCTCTTACAAAAGGGTAAACAATCAAGGAACATGATTTAATTAAGTAACCACACATCACTGAGTCTATATCTTCATTCTTTCTTGTAAAAATCGCTTTGATTGTGGCTATATAAAATAGGGAAGTAATATTTCACTGTACAACGAGCTCAAAAAGCTCGAGAACCAGCAATAAGATGGAAATAACCGGCAGAACCTTTAACCATCCACTGGTTCGCTAGTCGCTACGCTACCCCAGGTCGGTCGGTAGCCGGGTAGCCCATCAATGGAACCCGTTAGGCTCGCCCCTACCTCTCGCCACAAAAGAGACAAGAATTTTGCCTTGTTCCACACGCCTTTGATTGTTTGAGGCGGGAAAACTATTTGTGTGCTACGGCCCGCGCAACACAGGATATTGTTTTCGTATTAGTTGGCCTTTTTCCAAGATGACCGTGACCGTTAACTTATTTTATGGACTCCCTTGGAGAATAATTCAAAACTACAAAGAACATTTCTAATCCCACAGTATACTAGCTATTTAAATTATAAACACTTTGGTGTTTGAAAAATATTTTTGGACGATAAATTTTGCAGCTTTTTGAAATCATCCAAGATGGCCGCTTGCCTCCAAGGACTCAACAATAGGCCTAATTGTGCGACTATAAAGCAATAACTTCCCACCTTACGCTTGCGAATTAGTACGGTACATATTTGTATCCACAGTTGCCAGGACGACTATTAAGACGACCAAAGATTACATTGACATTTAGGTATTTAATCTGTAGAATAGTAATTGTTAAGTAATCTGGAAGACAACTAATTAAAATTAAGTGCGAAAGATGGGTTATGAGAGTGCTCAATGCCTGAAGCATAATCCATTTGTTTGAGGTGCGGATTTTCAAGCTTGTAGAACAAATAAATATCACAAAGTAGAAGGGCAGGGGTGAAAGTGACTGAAGTGACGGGATACCCGGGTGGATTTTCAGTGACTGGATTCCAGTGGTATGCGGTAAAATATATAGTGACTGGCTTAGCAGCACAAATTTTACGTGACTGGCTTTCCCATGCAAATGCGGTGGTGACTGCATTAGCATAGCATTTTTTACGTAATTATATTTTAGTATTTTTAAGAAAAAAAGAGATATATACGTTCAGATATGTCTAGGCTTAAGATATTTACCAACATATATTATATATATATCATAGTCTTGAAATATATTGGGGGGTGCAACTGACTGACTTCCAGTGTATATTTTATGTGACTGGCTTCCCGGGCGCGGCCGTGTATATATATATATAAATATATATATATAAATATATATACATATAAATATATATAAATATAAATAAATATATATATAAATATATATATATAAATATATATATATATATGAATTTGAACGGATGGTGTTTTTGGCCTCAGGGGACCTCAAAACGAAAAAGGAAATCGGTCCCGGGTCTAGGTCTTACCATGAGACCTACGGTAATAGCAGTGTTGGGAAGTAGCGCGCTACAAGTAGCGACGCTACAGTAGCGCGCTACTTTTTTTGTAGCGTTAGCTGTAGCTACGCTACTTTTAAGATTTTGTAGCTTTAGCTGTAGCTAGCTACATTTTTAAAGTAGTTGTAGCGGAATTTTAGCTACTTTTCTCGCTACATTAACATTGTTTGAGATAGTGATTTTTATCATAACCTCAACCTTACGTGAAACAACCTCTTTCAATATCAAACTGAGATTTTCAAAAAAATTAGGCCTACTTTCTTGGCTTCATACAGCTGGTTGCAGCCGTTTCATTCCCTATTACAACGTTGTGTGGACATGGAGGCCATTAAATGAGTGTTATCCAAATTTTTGGCTCTCATTTCCAATTTACTACTCTATGATTACTGTCAGATAAAATAAAATCGCTAGATGCAGACGACGTTTAAACGTTACCTGTGACAAGAGAAGCTATTGAATGCTTGCAAGTGGTTGGCAGGGAAATTAGTAATCAATTTAGTTTCTTTATTATATCGATAGTGTTTCAACTTGGGTTTTAATGGACACCAACACTAAACCTTAAAATAATGAGAAAGCTGGTCTATCAACCTTTGATTCAGCTGTTGATTGTGGTTCATCATCACAAGCCCTTCCTTGGTTAGATTACGAATATTTTTCAAATGTTTACTAAATTAACAAAGAAGAAATTACCTGATGAGATTTAAGATATACCTAGACTACATGATAATTGTAAAGAAAAAATCTCCATATAACATGAAATGAAACTTACATTTAAAAAATAGCATAGTTTGCTCCTGCTAACAGCTCTTGTATCTAGGACTATTCCTAGGCTATGCTATGGTTTAAGACGAATACAAAGTTCCAAGTTCAATTATTAGGAATACTGTATATCTATTTAGTCCTTGCAAGAACAAGCATACTATAGCCAACTTGTTACATAGCCAAGTAGGCCTACATGTTATTTTTACTTGACAATTTTCAACATGTTTAAATTAAAAGCCGATTTCAGGATAAGTTGCTGAATACTGTTTTCTGCACCAACTAGGTTGAAGCACAATTTGCCCTACCGGTATACATAATGACAATAAAGGACGATTTCTTGACATAGAAAAGTGTTATTCATAGAACAAGTAACTTATCACTACATGGTTAAAAGTTATAGCAATGTCGTTTTTAACATTAAAAATAAAGAAAGGCAATAAACTCCAATTTCAGTAGGCTAGGCTCTGTAACACAAAAAAGTATTTTAAATAATCACTGACATTTTTTGTTTAAATGTTTGTTCAATAAAAATGTAGTTGCAATTAATTTTACATTTACCTAATGTGCGTGGAAAAATAGTAACGTCTTTGGAAAAGTAGCTAAAATTGTAGCTGCAGCTACATTTCATTGTAGCTGTAGTTGTAGCTAGCTACTTTTTCGGAGCTGTAGCTGTAGCTGTAGCTAAGCTACTTTTTTGGAAATGTAGCAGTAGTTGTAGCTAGCTACATTTTAAAAGTAGCTTCCCCAACACTGGGTAATAGCTTATTCCCTATATGGGAAATTCGCTAAAATGCCCTTAAGTGGACCTGAAAGTTAATATCAGTTGGACCCAGTATCGCTTTTTCTTATGCTTAACTTGCCTACGATACAAATACTAAGTAACAGCTAAGTCTACAACGTCCATCTTGACGCTGAAGCTAGGCATAGGCCTACAACCACTCATTGTCTTAGTCAGGCTAGTGCGCCGCCATTAACCTAGCTGGCTTCTATATTAAAAAAGAATACAATTTATATTGATTGTGGAGAATAACTTAATAATTTGTAAATGTGATGGTATAATTCTCCAGTGAGTCAACAACTGATCTTATTGAATAGGTTTATTTTCTAAACAAATATAATAAATAGGCTACCTGCAAACACATTTCCTTGATGTCGGTAATATCATGAAATAAAGAAAACTCGTACAGTTCACAGGCAGAATTGGCTGTTATATTTTCTCTTAAGTATTTGATGCAATATTCTTCAAGGTAAGGCAGAAGATACTTCATAGCGGCTGAGTAGACTGTACAGGCGTGCGTACATGACTCAAAGTCCACTTTGTCTGAGTAAATGTACCTGACAATCAGAACATGAGCAATTACACTGCTTTACTTATAAACTGGAGATAAGTAAAAATGATAAATATTGTATGGTACATTTATTATGATATAGGATTTGGTATAAGTTTTTTTACCAGCCTAGTTAAATAAGTTAAAGAACATAAGAATATAAGACTTAAAGGCTACTTTGTCTTTAAAATATTTAAATACTTACTGCAGCATGCCTCTGAATGCATCAGGCTCGATGTCTTTGATTTCAATAGAGCTCTTTTCGGCCATCTCTCCATAAAACATTGCATAGAAAACTGGACTCGCCATTCCAAGAAACAATTTGTGACTAGGTATCTACAAATGAATTAATGATTTTAAATAGGGTAGCCCAATATGAAAACAGGTACGGTACTCAAGACATAGTTACCAGGACATAATAAATTAAATTTGTTGGATTAAGAACAAAGAAATGTGTTGTAGCAAATACAAATGGTCGGATGCCCCATAACCTCTAACTCCTTTTAGAAAGTAAGGCGCTTTAAGAATCGTAAACATGTTTGTATTTGGTAGCGATACACCAGCGACGCGACAAAGCGGCATCCACCACAACTGCCTCAGTCCATATTGCGGGCCTTGTCGCGCCGCTCAGTGTGAACACACATTTTGTTGCCGACAGCAGCGACCGTTGGTCGCGTCGCTGTTGCCGTCCAGCTAGGACGTGGCCTAAATCATCGGCTAGGGTAGCTTTGGAAAAACAACATAAGAATAATGGAAAGATGAGTAAAAATTTATGGTAGCCTATGATTTATTAATAATTTGGAAGATTTAGCGTTATAACCTAAGTTAAGGCTGTTAACAAATAACCTAACCTAACAAATATTAGCCTACCTATCAATGTACCGGTCGCGAGTAAAGTTCAAGGGTCTACAGAGGTTTAAGTTAACTTTTTGCTACCACCACTACTCTAAAAAGGGAGAGTATGCCCTGACAAGAACAGGAAAATAAAATAGCCTAAAAAAATAATTTTGATGCTGAAAAAAATTGAGTTTCAGGTTAATTGAATTAACAAAAATACATTATGAAGGTTATGTAAATTTTGACTCTAAACAATTGTATGTGGACAGTAGCCTACGATGGGTGGATAAGCATTACCTAAAATTACTTCGATCCCTATATCAACACCGGATCAAGTAACTTAACTTCAACACATTTCTTTGTTCTTTATACTTGCATTGTAGGTAATCACGTGATTCACCAAATATTAGCCTAGATTAAGGCCAAAAGGCTAAAAAACTTAACACACTCACTCCCGTACGGTGAGAAGCTTTACATACACGGGAGTGTGACGGCTGGGACTGGACCTGTTAACACACTCACTCATTGGTGAAAAGCTTTACATACAGAGGAGTGTGACAGTCGGTACTGAACCTATTAACACACTTACTCCCGTGTGATGAGAAGCTTTACATACAGGGGGTGTGACGGCTGGGACTGAACCTGTTAAACAACAGTTACAACACATTCTAAATTAAAATAACTATAGATTACCGTACGCTCAATTAAGAGACGGTGAAACGCTACACCAACTTATAACATCAATATAAGTTAGGGGCCTAGCCTACATCAATTTAGGTGGATGCCTAGCAGCAACCACAGGGTAGGCCTACCTATAGTATATGAATAAATAACTTAAGTGCTAGGCCCTAATCTATGTTAGGCCAACCCACAGTAAAAAAATTGCCAAAGAATTATTAAGATCCCACAAAATGACGGAAGTAGGCTACATAGCTACAATTCTAAAATTAATTAAATAGTATGGTTAGGAATAGGACTTGGATTATATGATTTACAATCGAGACACATTTTTCAAAGACATACCTTTACTTTGTCAGTTCCCACTAAAAATTCACAATCACTTAGATCCTTAGTTGAAAATAACACCTCAGCTCGTTCACGTATACACGATTTTTGAGTTTGCCAATCATCCTCCATTTTTATGGCTAATAATTTTGACCAGCACTCAAGTCAACTATAATAAAGTAATAAAGTTACAGAAGATGAATCAAATTAGAAGCCTGAGAAAGCATTTCTGACAGGATAAACATTCCATTATTCCTAATCCTAACCTAATAGTGTTTTGTTATGACAGCTTTGACAGCAGTGAGCATCCGAAAACATGAACCAGACTGAGTGAAAGCGAAATCTGAGCTGAGTCCTGGCTGAGTCATACGTGGTCACTGGTCATACAGTCAGTGAGAGTGAGACCAACAGAACCATAAGAACTATTTTTTATTTTTACGAGGCATGTTTTTTAAGTAAGTACCGTTTTTAAATTTCTCCGTTCTAGCACTGCGATTGGAATTTTCGACATTTGCGCTCTGTACGGGCATCTATTGGTAAGACCTAGCCGGAAATTCGAGTACAATCGGCCGTGTTTACATCCGGTTTCGAGCATTCAAAATGGTGCCGCCAATTGAGACTGCCACCGACTGTGAAGTGCGCGCCGTAATTAGATTTTTAGGTGCTAAAGGTGTAAAAGCCATTGAAATCATCGACAGATTATTGAAGTGTATGGCGAGAACATTATAAGTGCCATAATGGCACGCAAGTGGATAAGGGCATTTAAATAGACCCCACCAACGTTCATGATGAGTAACGCACTGGGCGGAGTCATTACTGTCCCCGTACCCAGTGCTTGCTTATCATGAACGTTGGTGCCCTTACCCACTTGCGTACCATTCCGTAACTCATAATGTTCTTGCCATACATTTCACTAATCTATGTCGATGATATTCAATAGCTTTCACACCTTTAGCACCTATAAATCTAACTACATCGCGCACTTCACAGTCGGCGGCAGTCTCAATTGGAGCACCATTTTGAATGCTCGAAACCGGATGTAAACACGGCCGATTGTTCTCGAATTTCCGGCTAGGTCTTACCAATAGATGCCCATACACAGCACAAATGTTGAAAATGCCAATCGCAGTGCTGGAACGGAGGACTTTAAAAACGGTACTTTACTTAAAAAAAAACATGCCTCGTACTTGGTTAAACGTGGGTGAAGTGAAACCCGTCGAAATCATAATCATATAATGCGGCTTGTTTGGCAACAAATAATGCAAATGACAAAGTAGTGCATTTCCATAAAGCAAATACTGTAAGTTATTACCTAAATAGTGACGTTTACATGCATTGTTGTTAATCAACGTATCTTAGAAAGAATGAGGATATCTAGTTCAAAAAAGGAACACGAACTTTATGTCATGACAGTAACTGCTTAAATGGTAAGTAATTACTCTTTGTGAAATTTGTTTTACAGTCAAAGAGACTGCTCGACGTTCTCTACCCACGGGAACCTCTGCTTACCTGCTTCCACATGCACAGAAGAAGGCCTTAACTTTTTTGGACCAGGTTCGATAGAAATAAACTGTATCCAATAGTCAACAATAGTAGTTTCTTTCAACAGTTGCAGTTGCGAACTCTGCATTGTTGTTGTTGTTGTTGTTTTTTTTTTTTTTTTTTTTTTTTTTTTTTTAACAAAGTGTTATTTACAATCTGTTTTATATTAAACAAAAAGTAAATATGATGACATTTATATAAATAAAATAAAAATTTGGAAACATGAGTTAGCAGCTAAACAGCTTTAGCACTAACAAAAAATACCCCCGCCGCAGCAAACCTGCAGACTTAGCGAATTTCCATTTGCCTGATTTGATTTAAACTAAAATGTCTCCTTAAAAATATCACATTTATTCCCTATTTAAACAGAATTAGTTTAATGAGTTATATAAATAAAGATATTTCAATATAAGTTTGCCAATAGACTGTTTACTGATTAATATAAATAATAAACAGTCATATGTTTTAATTGTTTTGTTAAAAAATATAATGGATCAGAGTGTTGCTGTTTGATCCAGTGTGTAAGGCTCGTGACATTTCGGCCAGAACCAAGTTGAAGATATTTGGTAGCAACACGTCAAGTCTGTGTTGCTATATGGGTGTGAGACTTGGAAGGTATCTTCATCTTCATCTTCATCTGACTCAAAAGCTCCAAGTTTTCATCAACAGATGTTTGAGGAAAATACTGAAGATCTACTGGCCGGAGGTTATTTCAAACAGAGAGCTGTGGAAAGCTGCAGATGAAGACCTGTAGATATACAGATTAAAAAACGCAAGTGGCGATGGATTGGACACACTCTTTGTAAAGATCCAGATGCTGTAGAGAGGCAGGCCTTGAGCTGGAATCCCCAGGGGCATAGACGAAGAGGAAGGCCTAGAATGACCTGGAGAAGAACTATAGAAGAAGAAATAAAAGATGCAGGGAAAAACTGAAGGGAAGTGAGAGCCTTGGCTGCCAACCGAGTCCGATGGTGTTGTTTCGTGGAGGCCCTATGCTCCGTGCAGGAGTGAAAGGAGATAAGGTAAAGTTGCTGTTTGATGAAAGAAATAAAGAAGATGGTTTTTGTTAACAATTTGTCATTTCTAAAGTTTAATCTTAAGAAATCGTCTGTGATATCAAATTAAATGAAACACGTAAATTGACAATTTCAACCTACATATTAAAAGTCTTTAGTATAAAAGTGAAATTACTGGTTTGATTCTAAAATTTTGCCCAAAATACCAAGATGGGGTATTTTGGCAAGGCCATATTTTAGGGCAGTAGCTTTAAAATTGTAGACTTAAAGCACAGTGAGTGACACCTCATTTTAAAGGCTTATTACAAAAGAAAAATATCAGGAAAACCAGAGATATCTGGATTTCTGTGGTGTTGGTATTTAGAATAGTTTGAAAGAAAATATATTGGTCAGTTGGGGAAAAATTGTAGACTTAGATAGGAACATGTTTTTATTTACAAAATAGACTCAATAGGCTTGAATAAAATTGATGGAACCCATATTTCTATTTCAACTAAAGTTCAAATGTAAATTTACCATTTTTTTAAATTACTTTGAGGTTTAATTTTTCAAGTATTTTTTCTTCTGATTTTTTACATTCTTCAAAAATTTGCTTAAGGGTTCTAATTTAGGCATAAATGGTGTTTCACCTTTCTTTCTAGATTTTCTACTACATCCTTTAATGTTACTATGAGTTGAATTCACTGTTTTTTGTTCATTTCCAGATACTCTTGTAATAATCTCTTTGCTTATTTGATCAGTTTTACTTTTAAACAATATTTGTGATTTTGTTGTCAATATTCTTGATCTGCCATTCTTCATCCCCTTCGGTGATTGTTTTCTAGGCTTCATTACTTTATGTGCTGTAAAATTTATGTTTCTAGTGATTTTCTTTGTTACATTAAAGGATGATCCAAGTGTTGGGGAAAATTGTCGAAATTGTTTTGAATTTGTCCCTCTTTTACTTTTCCTCTTTTGAGCCAGGGGCTTAATTTCAAATTCTTCGTCAGAAACAATTTTACCAAAAAGTTTAAGCTCACCTCGGACTACTTTCATATAGGGCTTGATATTATAAATATACACAGCTTGATATATGTGTTTGAAACTGATCCCTGTTTCAGAGTTGACATGAATAGTTGTCACATTTAATGCTTCTTTAATTTCATTTAAAACGGTTTTGTTTGTTCCAAAATATATGAGATCCTGATAGTCGAACCCAGATTCTTCTTTGATTCTGAAAATAATTACCGTTAAAAAAATCCATTCAAGGCATTACAATTTTAATTTGTATTAAAATATAATGATGAGTAGTTAAAAATAAGATTAAAGAAATTGATTTTTTTCTCAATCAATTACAAATTGTATTGTATTGTATTGAGAAGGGACGGACTCAGGGTCCTATGCTATAGCACTTCAACCGACGCTTATTGTGCATGTCCCACTTGCTACCAACTAGATGCTATGCCCGTGCTGTGTCCTTGACCAGGTCCGGGAGCTTTGCCGAATGTTAGCGTCTGATTAATCACCTGGCTGATTTTGACCAAACAGTGCCCTTTAGCCCCAAAGCCTGTAGTAATCCAGAATGATGTGATGATTCCCAGAGTTTGAAGGTGTTTGTTGAAATATCCCTGCATCTTGACCCTCATCAGACCTACGGGTTGAATCTCTGGCCTTCTTTGAATGCCTCCTATTGCCGATGGTGGAGTGACCGTTGCACCTCCTAGGGCGCTTGGCCACACTCGTTTTGACATACAGACCCAAAGTTTGGCCTGGTACGTGTTCCTCTGGTCTTTGGGGTGTCATCAAATATGGGTATTCTCGAGATATTGTCTTTGAGGGTTCTGGTAGGGTTTAGGTTTTCTAGAAACCATAACGTTCTCACCAGACAACTGCTGTGAGGCTGAAGGTCGATCCCAGGCAGAGCACCTCATACTCTGTTACTCTAGCAAGTCGCCTGGAATCCTAGAGGCTTTGTACAAACCACACCACTTGGGAGCACGGTGGTATTCACCTCTTTAGCACGGATCGCTTTACACCACTGAAGTTCGGCTGATAAATAGGCAAAGGAAGGAAGAAGGGAAGAAGAGTTTTTCAATAGGAAATCAAAGAAGAAAGAAGAGCCAGCAAAAGATGTAGTATGCTGGCCATAGAAACCAGAACAAAGAAGAGGAAGGATCTGGGGGTTGGCTAGGGTACCTCATGGTCACCAACCCACAAGAGGCCTCCCTTGTATTTTACAGACAACTACCCCTGAGGGGATTAATTACAAAACAATACAGTATATATTATTTGAAAATATTAATAACACTTTACATTAAAGGATTTTAAAGATTTGTTTACACCTATTAACTGTTATCAACTATAAATCATTGGGATGGGGATGCCACCTATGTGCGTATTTTCAGAGTGTAGATTGGAGTGAGTGATCCAGTTTTGAACCATCAAAAAGTTACGAACATTTCTCAGGATCAATCTGGCAACCATTGTTTGATGGGCGAGCACAATAAACTTTCAGCTACCCAGCCAGTCTTTGCTTATGTTCTACAAACAGGCCAGAGGCTAAACATCTTAAAAAAGTAATAAAAAAACAATTGAGAGAACTTACATTTTAACATGATTCACAGGAGAATCCATATCCAACTCCATGAAGTCAAAAAGATGGTCAATATCGAACAGATGTAATAAATGTCTCATTATGATGATTTCTTTTGTTGTTTGGGCGACCGCCACCTTTATCCTTTTTTTAATCAGATACACAATAGCCCTTGTAGCATCATTGTGCATTTTCAATAGTTTTCTGTTGTGGTCAGTTAGTTCTATATGTCTGCAAGAAAATTTTATTTGTTATTAGTTTGTTATTTCAGATCTTACCTTGCCTTACCTTACCTAGTTGGCCACTCAAACCTAAGCAGGTATTTGGCCTCGCCAACAGCTTTTCTCCATCTTCCTCGGTCTTCCATCAGTTCTTCCGTAACATTCATTCTTCTCATGTCTTTGGTCCCATCACCGCAATCTCGGTCTGCCCAGTGGTCGCCTCCCTGCAGGAACTGCGTCTAAAACTACTCTTAAAAATTTGACTCCCTTGTCTTGTATAGATGTGTCTTGTATGGATGTATCTTGTATAGATGTGTCTTGCCCATATTAGTATTTTGCTTTTGATTAAAGCTATAATGTCTTTGTCCTTATAGATAGATGTCTCTCGATTCTTTGTTTGTTCTTATTCTCCATATTCCATCTTTTACTATCGGTCCCAATATCCTTCTAAGTAGGCATTTTATTTTCAATATAGTTATCAATCTCTTTTCATCATGTTTGGACAATACCCAGGTTTCTGATCCATATATAACTAGGTACTAATATTATATTTTATAGACCTTCATTTCAGTTTTCGTGGAGAGAATTTTGCTTTTTAGGATGTTTTAGAGACCAGTAGCATTGGTTGCCACTGAGAATCCTTGATTCAATTTTTGTTTCTTAGGCCCTTATTAGACGAGGCAGCCAAGTTGCGCAGCCAGCCGGGCAGCCAGTCGGCCAGCTAGTCACTGGGCATTGGTTCTTATGGAGCTTATTACACGAGGGCAGCCAGTTGCGCAGCCACTGTTTGGCTGCCGGCTGGTTGCCGAGCCCGGCGACCGCACAGGCAACCACTGGCTGCTCGGTCTGGTCGCGCTCCTGTGTAGCTTACGGATCTTATTACACTGGGCAGCCAGTCGCTCTCTGCCACACACATCAGTAGTAGATAATCACTCGTGGAAGTGCGTTCATCTCTGCCTGTCACATCATTGTGTGTTGTTTTCCTCAGTATTCTTGTAATATAATTGTGTAATTGGTGTAATATAATCATTTTTCTGTTCTTGATGAAAGAATAGGATATATATGCATTATTCTCTTCCTTCATCTTCTCTTTTTCATGAGTAGCAGAAGAAGCAAATATTCATCTCGCATTCTGACAGCATCTCTCCCCAACAGAACTGTTCCACCAACACTGTTCCACTGTCAACAAGAGACTAGCCTAGTTGGTAATTTTGTGGCTGCCCTGTGGCTGCTCTACCGGTTGCTCTACTGGTTGCTACGCTAGGCAGCCAGACAGGCGACTGGCTGCCCGGCTGGTTGCGCAACTTGGCTGCCTCGTCTAATAAGAGCCTTATCTGTATTGCTTTGGTCTATGACTATGTCTAGAGTCTAGGTAATTAAAATTAGTACAGTAGGTACATCTTTCAAAAGAATATGAATCGACTCTTAGAGGGGGAAAATCTATTTTTATTTTGGATCTAATTTTAGATAAATAACTGAATAATGCCTACTGCTGTGCTGATCTTTATAGAAAAAAAACTTTCTCGTCAAAGTATGTTTTCTTTTACGCAAGCCACATGCTACAGAATATGTAGGTAGGTATCTAAGGGAATTCCAAATTTTTGATACGAAAGAGAGCTTGTCATACAAAACATTTTGCAGGTCCTGTTTTATGGCCTTGTAAATTTTGAATTCCCCGATTGTTGTCATGAATGGCTCTTTATTGCATTTATGGAGTATTTATAAATTATTATGGATGTTAGTATAGCTTAAGTTGTTATCAATCAAATGGTCGGCATATGCTGAGTTAGATTTTTGTGTTGACTGTTTAGGTAGATGTTCATTAAATTTATCCAAAAATAACCTAAAATCTTCTGTGAATGATCTTAAAGATTTATAAGGTGAATGATTTTGAGTGAAAGGAAATACAATGGGAATCTGGTCAAAAACCTTATGTAGGTGGTTTCAGAGTTTAGTCCGAATCTCCTGGTGGAACTAGCTTTGTTAAAGTTTTAAATGAAGCGAAGTTCTCCCTTAGTTTAACTTCAGCAGTCACATACATTTAACTACCTTTGTTGAATACAATATAAGGAAAAGTTGTCAAGAAACACAAAAGCCCGAATTCCTATTTGGTACAAATGGACAGCGGAGCAGTTTTCAGAAGAAACCGGTGCCAACTGAGACAATTTAAAATGGAAAAGAAAAAAGATTGAAATTGAAAAAAAGGACATGTGACATTTATTCTGTCTTAAATCAGATGATGTAATATTTATTATTATTATTGTTTGTTGTGTTTATGTTAGTTTTGGGTTTTCATGGTGAGTTCTATTAAAACCAGTGTTCAGTACCAATAAATAAAATATAATTTATGAAGCTTTATCATTGACTATGGGTGTATGGTAATGAAAATAAATTTTAATTTCAAACTATATCTGTTATTTTTTTTATAATTTTTTTTTATTGGATTATACATTTAGCTTAATTAAAATTTTTATGATCCAAGACACGATGGGGTGTGCCAGTTGTATATATAAAAGCAATTGAATGTGAGACATTCTTATTCTATTGGAGTAGTGTGTTATGTATTCACAATACTACAGTAAACACCTCTTGCTAGTACTGTGTACGAACACAGGAAAGGTCCAGACATGTATATTCTTGCACAAATCATTTGTTCAAACAATAAAACATTTAAAATGATACGCTTTTTAATAGTTTTTTAATACTTTTCATTGAAATGGCGACCATACAAAGTAGGTATTTTAAGCCAAGTATGAATGGAGATATGCCTATAAATATCCACAATCAACATTATCAGTCATCAGACTTTTCAAGCAAACCTCAACTTCCAAAGCTTTAATTTAAAAGAACGATTAATCAGAGGGATAATTTTTATTGAAAATTAAATCCATTGACACCCACTGTAAAATAAATGTTACGTGTATTATTATAGTAATTAATTCCCATACATACTCGATAGAGAGGTCTTCACTCCATAATAGATGTTTTTTCTTCGGTAGTTCTGTCGAGGCTTCATACCTATAGGTTTTAAATAACGACTCTGTAACAACTTTTCAAGTTAAACACACAAGAATAACAATTATGTATTTCAAAGGTTTATTGCGGACATTTTCCATCACGAAAGTAAAAAACAATACACAACGTTTCGGGATCTGGAATCTGATCCCGTCTTCAGGTGAAAAAACTTAACTAACACATTACAACTAACAATACACAAACGCCCAACCTAAGTTGGAATACACTACCGAGGGTAGTAGTCAAAAATATCATCGTACATCGCTCCGCCATTCTGTTGGTTTTACTTTTCCAGGGACCGGAAGCCATTTCTGTTGTCTCCGTGTTTCCGATTGGTCAGCCATGTTGGTTCAGTTTCATTGGTGGAGTCATAGCGTACGGTGTTGTTAGTGTTCCATTGTGTGAGTTTTTTGTACGTAAACTTTTTATAGATTATAGTGTTTTGTGATTTGTTATTAATTGCATGTTGTATCATGACTTGACTGCTATACAGTGCATATTTTTGACTACTACCCTCGGTAGTGTATTCCAACTTAGGTTGGGCGTTTGTGTATTGTTAGTTGTAATGTGTTAGTTAAGTTTTTTTTCACCTGAAGACGGGATCAGATTCCAGATCCCGAAACGTTGTGTATTGTTTTTTACTTTCGTGATGGAAAATGTCCGCAATAAACCTTTGAACAACATTAACTCACCATCACCAACAATGAACTTCAAACAAAGAATTATGTATTTGTTCTAAATCTTATTTACAACATATTTTGGTAGTAACTTACATGCTCACATTATAAATAATATGAAGGAATTCTGCGCCAATATTTTTTAGATAAACAGTAAAACCTGACACGACAGTCAACAGTCTTACGAGCGGATTCAACTTTTCAAGCAATTATATCAGAACACTTTGTTTGAAATATTTGACAATTCTTTGAAGGTTGTTTACTCTTTATGTAAAAATACTCTTCATAATCCAGTAGGTAATAAATTTATTTGTAAAAATTAGTCTGTTATAGTAGTATTCATTTTTTAAAACCTATTAAAAATTTTAATGTTCCGGATAACTCAACAACTCCCAAACTTGAGTACTTCTGGGTCCACAAATTATCAAGTTAGTCAGGTTCAATGTTTACTACCAGTAGTGTGACAAGGTTTAAAATTTCTAGTTTGAAAAAAACATCCTTTTCAACATGGTTGTAGACATATATTTTGAGGAGGGTCACCAAGGGTCGAGGAGGCAAAGGAGGGGGCACGGGGTTCCCCCCCCCAAACAAATTTGGAAATTACGTGCTAAAATGAGTGGGTTTTAAGTTATTTTGTGGACCTAGTTTAATGTGTTCAAGCTTCCCAGTTTATTTAAAGGTCAAATAAATTTTATATAAACTTGTATAATGTCATGTATTTTAATTATTGAGACTTGTGGTTTTAATAACAAAGGAATACTGTAAAATTAGTGATTTTTTTTATAAGATTATCTTAAGTAAGCAAACTTACTCAGTAATGTTGAACGGTTTGACAACACCAGTTTCTACCTCAAATGGCCATAACACTCCATCTGTGGAAAATATCAATGCTTGGATTTAAAAAAGTTCCTATACACATAATTTAACATATTTCTTTTACTTTAACACTAATACTAATACCTTTTGTGTACTTTTGTTAAAAGCATAGACAAATAGAATAAATATAGGCTGTCAAAGAAAGGTTCCACGACCTGCTGCTATAAACATGCTTGATGTTCGATTCGCTGCCATCCTTGGCTCCTCACCGTTGGCTACCAGTACTTACCACACTTGTGAGCTGCTGCGGTGTGCACCATAACTATACGGCACTCCTAACAGTGCACGCCAGAACATATGCTAAACACACAGCACTGCTGTCTGTCTGTGTTTAATTATTTTTTCTATGTAAAACATATTACAAGTGCATTAGTAAAAGTCATGTAACATAGTCTATGCATATTTTATTTTTAAGAAGTTACTTGAGATGTTATTGCAAAATAAGAACTAACCTGGCTCAATAATTACCATTTTTGGCAGGTACTCGAGACTCTTGAAAAATTTAGGATCGAGTGGAACTGGAGTGGTCCTGATTTTGTTTTTTTCCATAAATTTAAAAATTGTTCCAGCATCAATGAATGATCTACAAAACTTCGGTAAAATTATATTGATAAAAAGGCACATGGGAAGGTATCTTGTACGCATTTTTTCATGAGCCACATTAACTTTCTTTGAATTTCAAGCTGTTAACGAGTCCATAGATAAACTTTTATGAGTATAATAATTATTGACATGATTTTCTTTTAACACTCACATCTTTGCGCTTAACTACCATACCTATAATGAATCAATCAACCATCATAGCACAAACTAACCAGGAACAAAATGTACATCTATAAATATATATTTCTTGTTATGTTCAACTCCCTAACTCATTGTTAACTCTGACGTCAATTAGTTCTATGATTGTCGTCATTGAGATTTTAAGATGAGATACATTGATATTTTTTTATAATGCACCAAGTTCTACGAGGAGAGTGCATCAATGTTTGTTTGGCATGTGATTGAACTGTAAACATGGCAGAATGGGGGGAGGGATTTGTGTTTGCCAGGTTATATTTGTGGCAAGTTTGGTAATCAGTTTATGTTCTGATATTTGTCTGTGCATCTTCAATGAAACTCCTACACAAGTCTCAACTACAGCTCCTGAGCTAAGGAAGCCTAAATTACTAGTTTTTAGTCTAGGTAAATCCATAGATTATTATTTTAATTGTTATCTATCTTATCTTACATTTTATTTGTTGAAAAAAAAAAACTTCTGACACAGTTATAGTTTTCAATTTGAGAAAATGTAATTTAATTTATTTTGCAAGAATGAAATTTGAAACCAATTTTTGAAATGATTTGGGAATATGCATTCTTGTCTTAGCCACTCCAGTACAAGACATAAATACAACTGTAAAGCTATTCTATAAATTGGAATGTTCAATAACTATTATTTTCAGGAAAGTAATATTATTTTCATTTTTTAAATATTTTTTTTAAGTACAACTGACCATGATTACCTTATCCTTCAAATCATACCAAAATTAAATTGTGGCACATAAAAAAACTAGTTGTGTATTGTACAAAATTCCATCGCAGAACTTTCCTTTGACAGTCTATATTTATTCTATTTGTCTATGGTATTAAAATGTCCTCTCTAATACTTCATAAACATTTTTGAAATGTTTTAGATATGGTGATTTGGCCTTTCCGAGTTGAAACTGATGTTGTTACACCAGTGAAGAGACACAAGAAAACGTATGTGTAAATCCTTAAGTTTATTTATACTTGCATCGCATCATCATTAAGAAGTTACCTACAGGCAGTGGTTATAACACTTAATGTAAATTGATTAATATAAGTTACCTTACCTAACAGTTTTGCATTTCCTTTCAAACAGTTTGTGTTTGAATCTCCAACATGATTCTTAACCAAGAATACAGAGTGAATCCCACCTGATCTTTTGTTTACGGATACAAGGTTTTTCAGTAACTGAAGATAATAATAAATAATAGATAGGTACTGGTCCTACTTCTGGTAATTTTTATGCATGATTCACATCCCAGATCATTTAACTCCATTTTACTATTTAAGTAGACTCCTTACCCTATAAAGTTGAAAGACTGTTTATGATGTTTCAGTGCTGTTGTTGAATAAACGTTTCTCTCATGATTCATATTGATTTCAAAATATTTGATAGATTTTTTCTCAGGTAATGATTAATGCCTGTAACTAGAAATAGAATGTTAAATTCACTTAATTGTTTTAAAGTTGGTAAAATAACAAAATTTCTGGTAGCCAATAGGATATAAGTAGGGACGCCATTCAAGATTCGTGTCATTCCCTTATTGGGTCTGATGATGATTGGATGTGTCCAATCGAAATCGATCACCATTACCATCTTTTGTATATATTTACTGTCTTGCTTGAAACAGAGTATAAGTGTAAATTGTAAATATATGTTTTAAGTGTTATTAGACGTATTTTTATTTACTCTCCGTAAAACTAATAACACATACAATGCTGATTAAGAAATTAATAGTCCAGGACCTGACTAGGGTTCTGTATGCATGTCGTGTTTAGAGAATTTTGCTTTTGCATTTCAATATAGGTGTCTTGGGGAGTGTTTTCCACTCGGGTGTCAAGTTCGCACCTGGTACGTTTTCGAGCTATGACGTCATCAAGATGGCGGCTCGGCAGTTTTTAAATGCGTATATTTCGCAAACCGTTTAACGGATCGGGATGATTCTTTTTTTGTTTGAAAGATATTTTTACAAACTATCTTTTTTGTATTTACACATTTGTTGTAAACTTAAATATTCACCGCACAATATTGAAAAACGTCGCTTTTATTGTTATTATATTTATTGTTTTGCTTATAACTTCTTAACCGCTGATAAAATCAATTACCACCCGTTGCAAAAGTTGTAGATAATTCTATACCCTTTCCAATGATACCAAACAATATGTGATTAGACCTAAAAATAAAGCAAAGAGATTGAATAAACCGTAAAAAAAAACACTGAAAGTGGTGTACGGTCCGGGAAAGATTAGTCCTGGACATGACTAGGGTTCTGTGTGCATGTCGTGTATAGGGAATTTTGCTTTTGCATTTCAATATAGGTGTCTTAGGAAGTGTTTTCCACTCGGGTGTCAAGTCCGCGCCGGTTTCGTTTTCCAGCTATGACGTCATCAAAATGGCGGCTTGGGCAATTTTTAAATGCGGATATTTCGCATACCGTTTAACGGATCGGGATGATTCTTTTTTTGTTTGAAAGATAATTTTACAGGAATTTTTTTTTGTATTTACACTTTTGTTGTCAACTTAATATTTATCTCACCATATTGAAAAACGTGATTTTTAATATCATTGTTTTTGAATTTTTCCTCATAACTTGTTAAACGCTTATAGAATGAAATAACTACCCATTACAAAAGTTGTAGATATTTTTATGCCCTTTCCAACGATACCAAACAATTAATGTTTGAAACTAAAATTAAAGCCAAGAGATTAAAAAAACCGTTAACAAACACTTAACATGGTAGAAAGTCCGGAAAATATTGCAGCTGGAACAATTCTTTAAATGCGTATATTTCGCATACTGGTTAACGAATCGGATGATTATTTTTTTGTTTGTAAGATATTTTTTAAGCCTATCTTTTTTGTATTTACACTTTTTTTGTTAACCTACGATTCATCCCACAATATTAATAAATGTACATTTATTTGTTATTTTTATTTTACTTTTGCTTATAACTTTTTGACAAATAGTAGGTTAACAACAAAGGTGTAAATACAAAAAAGATAGGCTTAAAAAATATCTTACAAACAAAAAAATAATCATCCCGATTCGTTAACCAGTATGCGAAATATACGCATTTAAAGAATTGTTCCAGCCGCAATATTTTCCGGACTTTCTACCATGTTAAGTGTTTGTTAACGGTTTATTTAATCTCTTGGCTTTAATTTTAGTTTCAAACATTAATTGTTTGGTATCGTTGGAAAGGGCATAAAATTATCTACAACTTTTGTAGTAATGGGTAGTTATTTCATTCTATAAGCGTTTAACAAGTTATGAGGAAAAATTCAAAAACAATGATATTAAAACCCACGTTTTTCAATATAGTGAGATAAATATTAAGTTTACAACAAAAGTGTAAATACAAAAAACATTTCCTGTAAAATTATCTTTCAAACAAAAAAAGAATCATCCCGATCCATTAAACGGTATGCGAAATATCCGCATTTAAAAATTGCCCTAGCCGCCATTTTGATGACGTCATAGCTGGAAAACGAAACCGGCGCGGACTTGACACCCGAGTGGAAAACACTTCCTAAGACACCTATATTGAAATGCAAAAGCAAAATTCCCTATACACGACATGCACACAGAACCCTAGTCATGTCCAGGACTAATCTTTCCCGGACCGTACACCACTTTCAGTGTTTTTTTTACGGTTTATTCAATCTCTTTGCTTTATTTTTAGGTCTAATCACATATTGTTTGGTATCATTGGAAAGGGTATAGAATTATCTACAACTTTTGCAACGGGTGGTAATTGATTTTATCAGCGGTTAAGAAGTTATAAGCAAAACAATAAATATAATAACAATAAAAACGACGTTTTTCAATATTGTGCGGTGAATATTTAAGTTTACAACAAATGTGTAAATACAAAAAAGATAGTTTGTAAAAATATCTTTCAAACAAAAAAAGAATCATCCCGATCCGTTAAACGGTTTGTGAAATATACGCATTTAAAAACTGCCGAGCCGCCATCTTGATGACGTCATAGCTCGAAAACGTACCAGGTGCGAACTTGACACCCGAGTGGAAAACACTCCCCAAGACACCTATATTGAAATGCAAAAGCAAAATTCTCTATACACGACATGCACACAGAACCCTAGTCAGGTCCTGGACTATAAATAGCATAACACAAATAGCAAACAACCAAACCTCTACAGTACATACATCAGATGGAACTAAACAGCTGATAAGGATGATAAATCTTTTTAGGGAGTACAGCCAGTACAGGTAAGCTTAAAGTCAACAGTTTAACCTAGTATAGTGTATACACTCTGCATTCATAATGACTCAGCAATTTTGTGTGTACTAAATGCCAAATATGAATACAGAAGGAGTGTAGAATAGTTTGAGGTGACATAGTGTAATTATTTTCACCGAGTATGATCAGCTTACTGTATTTCTTCCTACCCATTCTACCTAACAAACATTTTTGTTTCAGTGCACGGATAACTGATTTTTTGAAGAAGCCTTTAGGAGTATATGCAGATGCAGTGGATGCATTAAATTCCTTGTACCTGAAAAAGTACAGGTTGGCTGCCATATCAGACAGTCCGGACGTTGAAACAAACACTAAACTACTTCTCTTCTTCAATTTATACAACTATTTTCCTATCCAGGAAATATTTGGTGGACCGAAAAAGGATCATATAGAATTGTAGGTTTCCTAACAAATGTGTAAAACATTTTAACAATAAGGTTCTAAAATTTATCAATTATTGTTTTTGCAAACTAATTCAGAAATCTACAATCCTTTTATTATTGGAAAGTTATCTTAGTGTCTCATAGTCTAAAAAATGTAAATAATTTACCATTTAACATTTTAATAGTACCAAGCAATCAATTTTACCTCACAAAATTTTCTCATCCACAAAATGTTAGTACGGTCCACGAGAGTCTGCAGTTGAGGGAGGAGCATATTAATTTACAACGTGACTTCGAAGGAGAAGCGTGCGTTGTCGCCAAATCTAATAATACCAGCTGATTTGAAAATATTGTTTAGTATATTTTAATTAGTTTTTAAAAATTTATTTGTGAACAGGCGACGTTGCAGTCGCGCTAGTCCAGTCGTGCTGTTGGCTGCCACCAACTGAAGACTCTCATGGCCCCTTGTGTGATTAGTTTTAATTCCCAGCTTTGAAATAATCATAAACCAGAATGAGTGTGTGTTTTAACTTTGGTATACTCCAGAAACCTAATCTTAAATTTGTTTTCAGGATTCACAGAATAACACAAGTTCCCTACAATGAAATTTTCTACTTTGACAGAAGCAACAGTGAGCTGGATGCTATAAGAAAATTAGGAGTGTTTGTAATCGAATTAAAAGATGGATTGGAAATCGGTGAATTCAAAAAAGCATTAAATCGATATAATGAGATTCCCACGTCATCAAATATAACCACTAATGTTGTTCCTTGACGTTAAATTAAAATTATAACAATATATCAACTGTATCATTGTAAATAAAAACCAACCAATATCAAAGTTTGTTTTGTTAAACTTAGTCTTGATGTGTATCCTATGTACAAATATTCTGTCACTGTCTAAAATGATATAAAATCCGTCGATGTTTAATTTTATGACATTGAATACATAAAGGGTTCAGCTAACTGTGTTCAATTTTTCTCCAACTCAGGTTGCTCACCTGGACCAAGTTGAGCTTTTTGATGCTGTCTAAGAACAGCTGTTTCTTTAGCTAAGACCATCTCAAAATTAATGAGAAACCTGGGAAGGACGGGTTCGATTCCCGATACACTCACAACAAGGGTTTGGACCATTTCCCTAAAAAGTACTTTCTCCTCTAATTCCTCCAGTAAAAATGCCATTGCACTGGTGTACAGTAGTAATGAAAAAAAATTATCAAGGAAAACACAACGGGACACATTAAAACTAGAATTCTGGACTTCATTCGTTAAAACTGGAGTGCAGTTTTAAATAATAGAAAACTGACCTAGCAAGCACTATATGCAAGAAATCAGCTGCAAAGAATTGGATAGTGGTTGCAGTCAAACTATGGCTGCATTAAGGAACGCGGCAGCGTTCCGCCCCGCCAAGTCCCCCAGCGGTACACAGCTGCTGCAGTGTATATATACATGACGTGACAAAGTGGCTTTTTTACTCGTCTATAGCTTTGAAGAAACAAAAGCTATTAAAATAATTGTTCATCTACTGGATAGGGGCAATCATTCTCAACAAAATTAAAAAAAAGAATTTAAAAAACGGTTGTGTTTGAGCCAAGAAAAACTAGTTTGAAAATTCACAAATTTTCCGTGTTCTCCTTCTTCTCCTTAAATGTTGACGGACCTACAGCCCAAACCACTGGCTCAATTTTAATGTTTTTTATGTTGTTTGAAAGCCCTTAGCGTGTAGATGTGCCTTTTGAGGGTCTCAAGTCGGTGCGTTGACCCATAAACCCTTGGCAAGCCCTCAAAGTACGAGTTTGGCCCTTTTAAATAACATGGGATTAAAATCAAAACAAAAGAAGGACCAGCTGCGATTAAATCTTAATTCATTAAATGTTAGAGAAATTCATAGGAACAGCTGAAAAATTATTTTAATACTTTTATAAAGTATTTTTTTCAGGTATACTGAATGATTTGAACTACTTACTATATAAAATTACTTAGAGCAGTGATATTCCCCGACACTTTCCATTGAAAAATGCAGTGTACCGATGGTACACTGGTACAGCAGCTCGTCATTTTTAACAGTTTAATACTACTTATCAAAACATATGAAACCTAGGAACTTGAAACTTAGTACTAGTACGCTAGTACTAAGGTTTGTTCTATGTTTTGATACACTAAAACAAATAAAACGATCGGGAAAATCACTCTACATATGTTAAACAAGCAATTAAAAAGTGATATGTAAATTTAGGATAAATGAGTTATTCAATATTTGTTTTGCCTTATGCTATTTCTAACAAACCCAATTAGTTTGATTACATTTTTACATCTCTAATAAGGGCTCAATTTACACTAGTCTTTAGATATACGGGTTTAATTATTAGAACACTTATGTAACATCAACACATTTTATGTTGTTCAAGATGAGCATTGATGAAATTTGAAACTGAGTTTAAGCCCAGTGGGTTTGTTAAATAGTGATTTTGGTACGTGTGTCAAAAAGTTTTTAATCTGTTTAAAGCAGATAAGACCAAAAATGTAGAATTTAGTTCTACATTAACAATATTATTGAAATTAAATGAGATGTAGTTGTGCCGTGGTCTATATATCAGAGAAAAGAGGATTTTTATTTTAACTGTTAATTTTCTACAAAAATAAATAAAATCTACCAAAAAACCACTAAGTGGTAACACTTTCCCCGCCAAGTCAGCAATCCAAAAAAGTTAATAAATCATTACTTTTTCCGCCAAGAAAAACAATGTAATGTATGTAAGTTTGGCAACTTGGCGGCAGACTTTTGCTCGATCCCTTTAAAAAATACCATAAAACTAGTTTCATTGAGCAAGTATCCCTCCCATTGGTACATTGCTAGGTGAGAGCTTATTTTACAAAATTTGACCTTATTTGTGCCACATTTCATAAATTATACTTAGTTGGACTAATTAATTAGAGAAGTTGATTTGTGAAATTATCCACGAACGTAACTTAAATGAAAAAAACCAAGCAAAAGTCTGCCGCCAAGTTGCCAAACTTACATACATTACATTGTTTTTCTTGGCGGAAAAAGTAATGATTTATTAACTTTTTTGGATTGCTGACTTGGCGGGGAAAGTGTTACCACTTAGTGGTTTTTTGGTAGATAATAAATAGTTACTGGTACTTTGTATAAATATGAGTAAAAATTTGAAATCTTTTATTTGGTGGTCCGATAATGCTATTTTCAATTAGTTTTAAAGTATGCTAAATAAGTTTGATTCTAATTTTACTTGTAACCATTAACATTATCAATATTGCTTGATAATGATTTTTTCCTTTTACAAAGTTATTGTTTGTGTTGTATTGTTATCAGTTGATCTTAACGATGCCTTCCAATCAGCATCTGTGTTTTCAAAAGGGGATGATATTAGACCATCAGTTATTGTTTTCGATCCAGGTATTGACTACAATTATAACAAAAAATCTAAAATAATTAAGATGATAAATAAGTTGTTTTTATAATATCTTAGCCTCCTCTAGTAAAAGGTCGGGGAAATGATGAGAGGTTGGTCTTGTTTCGCCTACTGCCGGTGATAACAGTAGTATTAAACATATAAACATTGCTCCAATATAAAATTAGTGCAACTGCTTTTTTTGGTTTGTAACAGAATGGTTTTGGGACATCAGTGTTGCTACTTTTGTTTCACCGGGCATTGTATTAGAAGTGGCTATATGACGATATAGTTATGGTAATAAATAGATAACATTTTTGACCAATACATTAAAATATGTGCTAAATATTGCTGTGAAAAAAAATAAAAATAAATACTTTAAAATGAAAATGTTAATAATTTTTAACATTCAAAAAGGCTGTCATAGGCGTGATTTTGTTTGTTTTATGCTTAAACATTTCAACACCTTTTCAGACAAAACAGTTTGGCCTTTTCAAGTAGCTGACTTGAAAACTCCTCTTCATGTGAAAAATAAGTATGTTGTTTGTATGTTCTATTTCTTTTTCTTTAGAGAAATGTTTAAAATTTTAAATCCTATGCTGTATTTTTTATGATTTCTAGTTGTAAAGAAACCCAATCATATAAACAAGTGTAAAAGCACATAATAATTTTACTATAGCAACAATGGGTGAGAACTGTAGTTAAGAAATATATATATATTTTTTAAGCAAAGGCCGGTATCCACAGTGCGAGGCTGCTCGCTGCGAATGCCATCTGCCTCAGGGTGAGCTCTTTTTTAGCTGGCAGCTAGTTTGTAAACACGAATGCTCACTGCGAGCACGCGAACCACCCGCTTTGCTTTCCATAACACTTCACTAAATCTCTGATCATGTCATGACTATCCATGATGACGCACAGCTCGGAGTGAGGCACCTTTCTTTGAGCACTGCTCTGAGACCGACAAGTACACGGCTCGCCTCACATTGTGCGACGCGAGCGCCTCACAGCGAGCAACCCCGGTATCCATAGTCCGAGGCAAAGCCGAGCATTCGCAACGAGGCATTCGCAGCGAGCTGCCTTGCACTGGGGCCTTAAACATACAAAAAGAATGATTTGTAGCGATCATGCTCTAATTTGGGTGATTTTCTTTGGTACCTATTTATTCTTTATTGATATTGTATGATTTCCAATTCAACATCACAGCAAAACGATCTTTCAGGCTTATTCTCAATAGGGAACAATATTAGTTAATTATAAATATGTAGAAATAGGAATTACAATGGTTTTTAGTTTCTTTTGGCGAATTTCCCATATAGGGAATAAGCTATTACCGTAGTACTCATGGTAAGACCTGGACGCGGGACCGATTTTTTTTTTCGTTTTGAGGTCCCTAGAGGCCAAAAACACCATCCGTTCAAATTCATATATATATATATATATTTATATATATATATATATATATATGTGTCCGTCAGCACGATAACTCGAGCAAAAATGATCCGATTTTGATGAAATTTGGTAAAAACGTGTAAACGTACGTTTATTCGAACGAGTTCGCGATCCAGCATGATCGGACCATGGGAACGGGGGTTTACGGGGGGTTTTATGGGGTAAAAATAGGTTTTTCCCATTTTTGACCCAAAAAACATAAAATTTAGCAATTTCTTTCCAAACCATTTTGTAGAGCTTAAAAAAACAAATAATTTAGTATTTTGAAGCGTTATTATGCGCCTAATGGTTACGGAGAAAATTCCAAAAAATTGTAAATTTAAAATTCCCATGTTATTCTTATGGAGAATAAGTAAACTGTTGTAGTTTGCTTGTTTGTGAACATATTTTGATCAAATTTGGAAAATGTTTTTATTTTTTACTAACTATTCACATTTTACAAAAAAAACAGTTTTACCCTCCCTGGTGCAGCAAACCTAAGTACTTGTTAAACTAATTCTATTTAAATCAAGAATAAATGTTATATTTTTAAGTAGACATTTCAGTGTAAATCCAATCAGTCAAATGGAAATTCGCTTAGTCTGCAGGTTTGCTGCGGCGGGGGTATTTATGAATTAACATTGTGTAAAACAAAGTATAACCAACCATGTTGCCAATAGCTATACATGTTATGTACATGAGACAGAAAACAAAGGATTTTTTTACCTAGACCCTACTTGTATCTAACTACCGGTACTAGTTTATAATCATTTCATGTTTATCATCCAACAATTGGAAAGTATTTATTTACTTTAATTTTTGTTTCCTATTCACAGAAATGTGATTGTAGACCAAGCCTTCAATCACCTGAAGATCTATCGCCAAATACCCTCGGTGTTCACTGAACTCCGGAGTCGAGGGTTCAAGTTGGCTCTGATTTCTCAAAGTACAGACAACAACACCGTTTGTCAACTCATAGATCACTTTAACCTCAGGAGGTTTCTAACTCATATAGAAATTTACCCTGGAAACAAGACTGATCATTTTGAGGTGTAAGTAAATTTTAATCAATAACTAGCAGCTTTACTCATACTTGACGATGTAGCCTTTGATTTGAACAAGAACTTTCAACCATTTAATTTATTCATGGAGGTAATAAAACTGACTTTTTGATGAGTATCATCACTAGATGATACTAGATGATCACTAGTATCATCTAGTAAAGTACGAACGATACTAATGAGACCTGCTCAGCAAGCTTTGTTTAATGACTGAGCTTATTCCTAAGTCATGAACATATTTAAAAAGCCCAATGATCAAGGACATTTTCATACCACACCAGACAGAATTCAACACCTAAAGTTGAGTCACAAAACAAATACTTTACTTGGTATTATTTATGTAGTAAAAATGCTGAACAAAAGCATATATTTTTTAGTACTTAACATTTTACTTTTTGAATGAATGATGCCAAACAGTTACAAATCAAATTTCTTGTTTTATGTACAGTATACACTTAAAAGAGGACTTGTGGTATGGAGAGATGCTGTATTTAGTGTCTAAGTTTGAAGATGTGGAACCAATAGCAGATCTTGGAGTCGCCTGTATCCTAGTAAACGAAGGAGGAATCACCATGAGAGATGTCAGGAAAGGTTTTCACATCTTCAGCACAGAATCTCCTGAATACTCGTACTCTGAAGACACCCACGAGAGTAGTTATTTATTCAAGGAATAATATTTGAATAAACAAAACTCATAGTATTTTTTAAGATTTTGTTTCTTTTCCGACCTTTGGGTATTCTGCCCAATCAGATATACTATTTCTCTATTTTGGAATCGTATTGCTTTGAGTTAGTCTCTCAAAAAATATTTTTTTACTTAAAAACTTGTCTCCTCTAGTCGTCACAATGGAAGGTTCTTTGCAATATTCAAGTTGATAAATGTGCTGGGTTAAAAATCCCTCTGTAGGGTTGAGGTGCAGTCTGTAATATGTTTTTTGTTAGTCAAAAACTAATATCTATATAATTGTATTGTCAAGTGTGTGTAGTTTAAGTAAACAGTGTAGTAAAATGAAAGTTCCGCAGGAAATGGTGCATTCAGTTTGAAAATTGCTGAACTAAAGTTGACTTTCAAAATCTTGTTTTTGTATGAAGATGCCTGACCTCACACAGTAACTCTATTCATTCAAATGGAAGATTTTCCCTCAACCAACCTATAGTCAACACCTTCTTCCGTTAAGTTTTCACATGTTTCCTGAAATGAAGACTTGGTGAGCAACGTATCGCTTTGATGAAAACAGGGTGCCACAGAGTGGCTGTTAGCGTTTAGCGCAGACAACGGTATTCTACAACAAGGGAATTTCAAAGCTCACACAGCTATGATAAGAGCCTATCAATTTGTTTGGCAACTGTGTATGAAGGCAGTATTTTAGTTGCTCTTTCAAATGTATGATAGAACTTTTCTCATTTATAAAATCTGTATTTTATTCCAAACTGTTCCTTACTTTCTCAATAGACCTTGTATGAACAGGTCTATGAACAAACATACAACTTTTGGTTTTTGCTTCTGAAAACTATCTCTCCAAATTCATCCATATTTGTCCAGATTTACTGGGTAAATCACACTGAGACTGGTCTAATCTTATCTGATATCACAATCTTAACAAACCAATCTGATTGCGACTTCTATGTCACCTGTGAGATTTCATATACTTAACCATGATTTTTCATCCCTCCAAGCAGTTAAATTGGTTCATAAATCATTTAGTATTACCCACATATTTTATTCTTCTATTTTGTGACATAAAATGTTTTTGCGAACAATCTGTATATATTCAACCAACACATTCAACAGAAAAGCCAAAACCAAGAATTCCAGGAGAACTGTACCCACGAATGATTATCTTCCACATGGGTAAATTTATTTGTTCAATTTTTCTTCTTTAAACTAACTACTGACCTATAAGTATGCACAATAATTTATCTATTTATGTAACTTTGAAATGTAACTAATTTATTTATTCCCTTGGTGGAAAGTGGTAAAAATACTAAATAACATTATCACTGAACGTTAAACATTAAAATTCCATAATGTTGGTATTGCGTAAAAATTATTTATATAATTTGATTGAATACTTATAACAATTAATGATTTAAAACCCATGTAGTAAACCTGTAAAATTTTCATAATTCATCAAGTACAATTAAGATATTGGTATTGGAGGTAAAATAATTGACAGTTCACAGCTAGAATAGAAAGTGATTATGGAAGAGGTAGGTATGCGATGGAAGGTGATATCATTGACTAGGCCTATACACTTCTCAATTGATAATTACTCATTCTACTGTAGGCTGCAATAAAAATTTTCTTTATACGTGTAAACTAGCTGTTCTGAATTATAGGCCTAAACCGTTTTAACTGACTACTCCCGTACGTAGGACGGGCTTACACCTCGTTTATATAATTTAAAGTTAACGCTAAAATACATTTTGGTTAGTTACAGTTACATATGTTGTTAAAACATTCTGTAGTTTATCTGTTATGTCAGCTAACTAATTGAACCACTCATTGTAGGTACTTTAATTGTACTAATAATAGTAGTTTAAAAATATGTATTGCATATTGGAGAAATCACTGCTAAATACAATTGATAGCATTTGTTTGATTTTTGATCTGCAGATAGGACTATTTGGCCTTTCTGGTTCGAGCTTGACGTGACCAGGCCAATTCAAAATAAAAATGGGTAAGTTATAAATATTTTATGACATCTATACTATTATAAAGAAGAGGTGGTGTCTGTGTGTGTGTTTGTATGAGCTAATCTCAAAAACTACTGAACCTATTGGGCTCAAATTGCACACACATGAAGCTACAGTTCCGAGGATACATATAGAACTATTCCCGCTTCAATATTGTCCTAGGGCTATGCCCCGCGTGGGCTTTCAAAAATCGGAGGTGACAGATTTCAAAGTAAATTTTGATTGATGGTATCCATGACAACAAAGAACAAACCTACAAAGTTTAAAAATGTAAACAAGCAGTACTAACTGTCAAATTAATTTTGATTTCACAATTCCATACAGCTGGTTCAAACATTCATTTAAATACTGCATGAATATTAGAACAGAGAGGGTAAGGATCATATTTAAAATAATGATGTCACTATCCTGAATGTAAACATTATTTAACATTACTTAAATGGAGCTGTCAAACCATACGCTAATGTAATTTCATTATAATAGGATTCTTTCAGTTACATAATTACAGGGTGCAGCACTATTATTTTTTTGCATTTATGACAACAGCTAATTTGAACCAACTAGCCACAAAAAGCTGTGGTACACAATGAGACCTTTACTTTTTTCTATGGTTCAGGGGCAGTGGTAGAACAAAAGAACCAAACTTTCTTAAACCATGTCCTCACCCATAACTGCAATAAGCATTTTATACTTATATGCCAACCCCGTACGAAGGACGGGTACTCTGCTAGTTTATACTAATTTTCATATTGAGTAACTAGAGAAAATATATAAGTACGTACCTACTCAATGTTTTATCTAATATCTTGGTCATGGTGAAAGGAAAATACATAGGTGTGCTATTCCCATCATATTCTGACGTCACTGGGATTGCAAACAAAAGATCACCTGATCATAACTGTCAAATTAGTATGTACTAGTGTACATGTTGCTCGAATTCGAGCAATTGCAAAGTATTACAGGAGTTATTTCAAAACCAATAACAGTCATATTTACAATGAGTTTAAAAGAGTCAACTCAAAGATTACCGGTGTGCAACTCAGACCATGTTTATCTTCGTTATTGATAAACCTAAAGCATTCCGGCCGGGTTTCTCCTTCTCAAAATGCCTCGCTGTACAGGCAACACAGGTTATTGATAAAGGGCCAATTGAGAACGAAAAGTCGTTTTGGAGTAGTGTTAAGGCACATTGTCCAGGGTCAGGTGCTGACTATGATGAGTTAAGGCTTATTGATAGCTGATCATTGGGCTTTAAATAAATGATCCTGACTAATGAAACCGCTGATCTTAGTCAGTAACAAAGCTACACAGGTCATCACACACCATTCTACACTCATCCTTCACTCATATTTGGGTTAAAATACACACCTAGGTGGCGTCCCCATCTCAATAATTGATTGATTGATTGATTGATTACGCCGTTAGTATGTTTTCTGTGGTATTACGTGCCACAGTTCTGTAGCTGCTGTCGTTATCACGATTATACGCCTCCTGTCTTATGTTTCGTTGTCTTCGCGTCGGAGGCATTTAAAAGAAAGAAACAACATATATACAAATTATAGCTACACAAAACAACGATAAAACACAAATTTAAGATACAACCATACTAACACGATCCGTCTTGGGGGTTATGTTTACAAAAACTTATATAGTAAATAAATATACTCAATGTGTCTGAATTGAAAAATAAATAACAGCAATTAAATTATACAGCTGATCAAAATGTAAACAATTAAGTTCCTCATAAGGATAACATGGGAACTTTCAAAGCCACTGGGGCAGAGCCCAAGGGACTTTTTCAAAAATGTAAGGCCAGTTTGCAAATCTACGTGACACGCTCTTTCCAATGTGACGTCGATGGATAAAATCGGTTAAGAAATGGCGGAGGAGTTCAACCGACAAAGTTTCATGTAGCGTATTAATTATATAGATTTGTTTTGATTTGATTGTTATTGATTTTTTTTTTAAAACAAATTATAAAAACAATAACTACCAAATCAAAACAAATACATATACTAATTTGACAGTTATGATCAGGTGATCTTTTGTTTGCAATCCAAGTGACGTCAGAATATGACGGGAATAGCACACCTATGTATTTTCCTTCCACCATGTATCTTGGTAAAATCCATATAGTCTTCAATGTTTTCAGCTTTGAATTAATATATCAAATTACTCTAATCCAAAATAAATTCTGGGTTACCTATGGATTTTAAACACAGAAATGCTTGTGTGTAAAATTTTACTGCCTCAGTATTTTCTGGAGTGACTTAACACCCGAACTGAAATTATGATGACTGGTAGCCACGGCCACCTTTAACTTCAGGCCGCGTTCAAATTGGCAACACTGTCAGGAGTGCTAGCTGATTTGTTTAGAGGGAACTAATGCGTATTTGTGTATTTTTTAAGAATACGAAAGCTTGGTTACTGGGCTATGGATATAATGACTGCATTTTATATATGTACAGAAATAGATTTTCCATTAATATTGTTTTGGTATAGAACAATAATATACGTTTTATTTTCAGTCTTTTAATACATATACCATACAGTATATTCATAAATTTAAATTAAAATGAATAATACAGTAGATGATTATATGAGCGGATGTCACCTGTCTGCCATGTTAGCTTACGGGATGCCTGGCACTTAACAGCACTAGAGTTAGAGGTATGGCCGTGCTGTAGCACTTTATACTGTACTGTTTAGAGGTCTAAACCTGTTAGATATGCACACACATTCCCTTAGTCCCTGAAGACCCTAAGGGGATGAGCAAGAACCAATGTTAAGAGAACCCTAGGGTTATTAAAGGGATTTGACTAAAGCAACTAGATTCTTTGAATGACAGTGTACAGCACGACGGCTACCCTACACACCCACAGTTAAGAAGATTGAGACCCTTTCATAAAATAAGGAAATCAAAAGGACAGAAATTTGTTGCAAAGTACCTATTGTCGGGACCACATAAGTTTGCAGTTGGTGGCAGCCAATCACAAGACAAGGCT